TGATGATGATGATGATGATGATGGTGTCGGTGGTGATGATGATGATGATGATGATGATGATGATGATGTCGGTGATGATGATGATGATGATGATGGACAGTGCCCTCTGATGACAAAAGGATGATGATGGTGCTAATGGCGAGCACCTTTGATGATAACCTAATGATGATGATGATAAGGGTGAGCAGCGCCTTATGACGACAAGCTTCGCCAACAGCGCCCTGTGATAGTGAGCTATTGATGATGGTAAATGATACTGGCGTAATGATAATGACGATGATGATAACGAGCAGCCCCAACGGCGCCCTATGAAGAGGAACTGATGATCATCATCATCATGAAGAGCAGCGTTGATAATGACGCGACCAGTAACAACATGCAACAATTGAGAATTGGGTGGTGTGTAAGGTGCGAGTCAAGCTACGGACTGTGCGGTAAAGTCTACAAAATGTCTCAGCCGAGATCCCCTCACCAGCGAACCAAAGAATAAAACTCCAAATTCCACACAGAAAGAGAATGAAACTGACGTCAAGCAGATTTGGGCCTCAGGGGCCCTTCTTGCTTGGGCCCGGTCCCACTAGGTACCGAAAGGTCCCACGCACGCCGTGACTGAGTCCCAACCAAGAAGAGTCGCGCATGGACCTACTTCCTGCCTCTACCAAACTGAAAAGTGAATCTCAACTTCATAGAGAACCTACTAACTAGAGCCGTTTAGAAATGAAAACACAAAGCACCGTAGAAAGAATCGGTGCTCAAATCAAGATACTTCATCTCTCCATCAATCAGGTGAGAAAGCAGTTTGCAAGCTCGAACACACAATGAAGACCACATACGAGTAGGAAAAGAAACCCATAATTACCCCAAGAGGACATCCAATATCATGCACACATACACATGCGCAACCCGTAGGTCCTCCACACTTACCTGAGTGGCCTAAGCTTCAAGATGAAATAGAACTCACTGCTCTTTGTGGGGTGCTGTGCAGGGGAGAATGATGACCTGGCAATGTGGTGAGGGATGGCACGATGACGAGCTGTTTCCGTGGGACTCAGGGGGAGGAAGACAGGCTGTTATGAGGGCGGTTTGGGAGGCGGGGTGCCTGTGATTTCCTTGCTTGCCCTTTCTCCTCCTCCCCTTTCGATATGTTCAGTGCTCGGTTTCTGATTTCTTTCTCTCTTGATATGCATTGTGTTCTTTCCATTTCATTGGTCCTCTTAATTGATTGATCATATAACGCCGTGGCAAGTGCGACTGGGCTCTCCCTTTCCGCCCCCCTCCTCCCTCCCCTCTTGTATTCCTTCTTTTGCTCTTCCGGTGATGATTGGGGGGAGGGCCGAGTGGATAGGGTGGATGGAATGAT